GCTAGTGCCCAGACTGTATAGAAGAGGAAAAGTAAACCGCCAGATTGGAATGTGACAGGTTATGGAATGAAGCAGTGGAGGTGGATTTGAGCAGAGGGGAAGAGCTGCGGAAGGGAGTGGGACAAAATGCTGGTATTTGGTATAAAGGGGAGCAGTGGGGGAAGAGATGATAGGGAACAGAGTAGAAGGGGCAGAAGGTTCGGACTGGGTATGTTCAGAAGGAGCAGAGGAGAAAGGGGCTGGAGTGAGTAGGTACTTACAATTATAATTAGAGAGTATTATAATTTATACATAGAAGGAGGCTGATTTAAGGTTGCAGAAGTGTTCCCAGTTCTGGCTTTTCTTAACTTTTGGATGCTTGACACTACAAATCTTAACATCCTTTTAACCCCCCTCAATCTATATATTGCAATAGTCCACTATGGGTGCTCTGCCTCTTGCACCCTGAGGTCCTGATTCAGGAAAGCACTTAAATGCTTAGGCCCATGTTCATTGACTTCAGTGGCACTTCAGGAGGTGCCTGCATGCTGTCCCGAGCAGGTGTGCTTTTCTAAATCAGCACTTTGGAGATGTGAAAGCCACAACATATAATTACCTTTGCATCACCATTTTAACCCTTCCCCTCAGCTTTCTCCATCATACTTTCTCATTTTTGCAGGGAGTTTGTTCTCTCCTCTTTCTTGGCTTCATAAACATAAATGATTTTGAATTAATGATACCCAAATAAAGGAAGTTGCCTTATTTCCTACTAAGGCACTCTCTTTTAAGCAGTAATCTATTGTATATACAGTTCAATAATTACCAGTAATACACTCAGAAGGAACCATGTGTGCTTTTATAGCACTTTTTCTACTACATGTTAGGACATATTACAAACAATTAATTAAGCCTCCTTAAGTTAATGAGGAAGGTGAGTACCAGAGCTTTCTGAATTTTGGCCAGAAAAATTCTTGTGGCAACTTATTTAGATTTGAAGGCAAACTTCGATTCAGTTACACTTTCCAGTTCTGTAATCTTTCCCCATGAAAATTTCAGCATGCAGTCTCGTAGGTTGAATAATCACATAAAACCAACATCCTAGCCCTAAAAATATTTTTATTATTATTCTGAGTATTATGGCAGGGCCTATGAGACCCGGTCAAGGGCCAGGAACTAATCATGCTAGGTGCTGTTATACAGAACAGACATTGATTAGAAAAAAATAATTATCAAAAGCAAACCATGAATCTATATCTATTTGTATGATTATACTTTTAGTAGCATCCAAAGGGTTTCACCAGGCTCAGGACCCTCTCCAATCATGCCACCTGGTATAGATCCTATGCCAAAGTGCTTTAGTCTAATCCGAAATAAGACACAAGCACACTGAACAACAGAAGGTAAAGGAAAGATGATGGTGGAATCATACAGATACATAGGCTACCAAGGGGAAAAACTTGTTGATCCTAAGCATCTACAAATAAGCAACAGTTCTGTTGCTGACCTCTAGTCATAGTTGCTGTGATCAATTGGCCAATTTGTGGCATCACAAGAGAAAATGAATCTTGAAAGGAGAGGTGAAAGAGGGAACAGTCATTAACTTATGGATCAGTTGAATGAGAATATTTCATTCATAAAAGCCAGCGTGAAATAAAGTGCAGAGATGTTTGTCAGACAAACTGACATTCAATTTGATATTGTTGGCAAATTGGACAGGACAAGGATCAGACAAAAGGATAAGAAACAGGATTCAATGAACATTGAGGAACAGATTTGTAAAATGGCCTTGATGGTGAAGTAGAATTCTATATTGGCTAATGAGGTAATTCACCCAATCAAGGAACAAAAACTGTACCATGTGATCTATGTACTGAACAAATACTACACAGATTGA